GTTTCTGTGCATTCCAACTTTTGCTTTAGTAAACTGCCTTATCTCAATCTATGAGTCATTTCTCACCTTACTCCTTCTCCCCTGTCCAGCTGGGAAGGGGAGTGATAGAGCAGCCTGGTGGGCATCTGGCATCCAGCCAAGGTCAACCCACCACACTCATTTTAAAAACTTTTGCTTTGCTTGTATAGATTCAGCTGTGACTAAATAACATTCAACTAGGCAAGTAGGGAAAAAATGTATAAGAAAAACTTCCAGCAATGTATTACAACACAAGACATCCTGTCAAAGTGCTATTAATATACATTTTGCACACTCAAGAATCTCAGCACTTTCTTTCCTTGATCCTGTTTAACAACAGAGAATGAAAGTGCTGAAAATTAAGAAATACTTTGCAACAAACATAATCCCTGCTGTGATGCTCTAAATAAAAAATCAGGAACACAAAATTAAAAGCTAACAGATGATTAAAAATTAACTCCAGGTAACATCTTTTTAAAGACAAAAATAGGAAATACAGAATAAAGGCATAGGAGGCTTGAAGTTATGAACAACTGTTAAAAAGCTAAGTCCAGAATCAGTAAGTAGTGAAAACATTAACGTCTGTGTGGATCTACGTAATGACAAGGTCTTCCAAATATAAGACACTGTCAACGTGAATGAACAGCATTGTCATTTCTGCAATTGGTAAACACATCTTTCAAGACACAATTTTTTAATGTTCCCTGCTACAGAAGGCAAGCAGCTGTATTCAATGGGAACCTGTGATTCTGGATTCTGTAGTTGTGGTTCTAAACCAGAAATACCTAAGCAAGGTCTGATATACAAAGCACTGTATATCAGAACTGGGAACCGGGCACCTTTAATAATGGTGTTGAGTCTTAACATTCATGCAAAAAAAACACTAGATGAGATATTAAAATCACAAAGACTATTTTGGTGTTTTAGTAGGAAAACCCAAATAATGGCAGTAGTAGCCTAAATTTCAATTACAGCAGCCATTCAAACAGAAGTGTTACTCAAACAAAACAAATGTAATCAGTTCAGACAATAATGTTTCACAATCCTTAAAATACATAAAGCTAAAAACATAATCCACCCTAATACAGTTAGAATGCAACTGTGAATAATAGAACTGTCACAGTAAGAGCTCCCAACAGTACTTTTCCCAACCCTGAATCAGGGTTTCTGTCCCTTTCTACAGCTACCTAGACTGGAGTTTTCAAAGGGGAAGCTAAAAATTCTACAAAAACAGAGGGTAAAAAATTTGACAAAACCTACAGAACTCGGAGGGGTTTTTTCCCCATTCCTTACAAATTTGAGATTTAGCATGAAATTCTATTAATGCTCCAGATTTGAAGACCTGTGAGTTACTAATCTGCAATACATATCTCTTTCCACATGAAGTTCTATCATATTTTCACGTCTCTAAGAAAACTCAGTTGTTTTCTTATATGTTTACCAACACATGCATAAACTTGTAACTTTGGTCTTTCAACACATAACATAGAGGCAAATATTAAAGTCTTCCAGTCTTTAGAGGCAGAGTTCAGTTCTCATCACTTTCTAATAGGTCGAGGCACCCCATCTGCTGGTGGAAATGTTACTCTAGAGAATCACACCCCTGAGCTGATAACTGATAATTTTTTCAACTCAACCACTTGACAACTGTTTGAGGTTTTTCAAATGCAGCGATATACAAAAAATTCAGATCTTTGAAATACTTTCAAAGAAAACTATGAAGTCCTCTAAAACAGTCCATTCATTCCTAAATATGCAAAATATTTATACAAAATGCTTTGGATGATCTTCCCTGACTCTAGGCTATGCTTCAGTCAACAGAAACTGCAGACATCGACTCATTTACTGTAAATATTTTAGTATGATTTACATTGATTCATAAAGATGATGTTAAAATGTACATTGGTTAACCTGAGAGAACATAAATGGAAGACTGTTCTTTTCTTCTGATTTAAACAGGATAAGCACACACACTTAAAAAGTAAAAAACCATATAATCAGTTTCACATACACATTTTAGATACTTATCTGTGGGATATTAATGACTTAGCCATAGTAATTTACATGGGACAAAAAAATTAAAATCACTAAAGTAAGGTAACTAAAGCAAGTGCCTCTTCTTTCTCTGTGCCAAAGGGGGGGGGGGGGGGGTTAGGGATGAAAATTTAAGAGGAAAACATTTAAGCACACAAGAACAGATAAAATATACAAAACTGGCTAAACACTACACAAATTGCATACAACTGTACATCTCTGACTTAAGCACAAACTATCACAGTCAGATCAACTTAGATAGAACTCTCAATTCTGAGAAATCTTCACTAATATTGGACTCTTCAAAGGATAAATGTCTTAATTAATAGGCTGAATGTAAGGACTGAATCCAAGACATTTACACATAAAACTATTCAGTCACAGTTATTCATATGACTAACTCAAAGTACAGAGTTTTGAGGCTCTGGATTGCCTACTGTCTCTGATCATATAGGGATTTTAGACTTCTAACTGTGCTTTGAGTTTTACCTTAATCAAATGTTGAAAGTAAATAGTGCAAACATCCTGATTGTCTGCATATTCCCATCAGAGGTAAAGAAGACATGCATCCACTGTCTGGACTTAAACTAGCAATTCCAAGCAGGTGTTGTGGGAAGAAAACAACAAAAAAGGTAAGCTGTGGGAAGTTAAAGGACGAGGGGGAAAACACAAGTACATCTGCATTTTCAATCAGTTGTTTTATGCTTATACCAGAAAATGGGCAACTTCAGGCAGCAGTAGACTGCAAATAAATCCCCAAAAGATAAAGCACTGCTGTGACAGTCACCAGGGATTTATGGGCTCATGATCCCAGAAAGTGAGGGGAATTGGGCTCCCAACATCCCGGCAATCCTCGATGCCACCGCGCCCTCTGCTGGCCCGGATGGTCTGTGTGTGACAGCGCAATAATTAAAAGGTTCACCAGGAAAGAACAGTAAGAAGCATCCATAGATACCTCTCTACAGGCTACCTTTAAAAATATAGAAGTGTGTTTTCATATACTGCTTAACAGTCACATTATTACTTCAGTAAATTTTTTTACACTCGTGTGCTCTGAAGCATTGACAACATTAATATATTCTATTTATATTGAATTTCCAAGGTTTGGGGAACCTAAAGCAGTTAGATTTCTTTAAAAACCAGCCTTACTGGTTAATGACTGCTTCCAAGCAGGGGTGGTAACACTACTTTACAAAAACAATCTTTCTTTCTGCTTAGAATACACAACAGACATGCCATTATTTTCATTTTTTAATAGTTTTACATTGCAATAACAACTTTGATTTTAGATTGTTTTATATTCAACACATACATAATTTCACTCAATAAAATGAGGTTATATTGTGTTACAACTTCAGACAAAATGTCAAACATATCAAAATTCAGAGGTGGTGTAAAATAGTTTTGTACAATCCAAATTTAAATTCCCGCTTACCAAAAACATCCGTCAGCACTTTTTTTCCTCCAAGTTAATGTTTAAGACGAAGAGGTTAAAAAAGCTGGGAAAAGATGGAGGAATTCTATCTTTCCTAAAAGTTCAAAGTATTCAGACTTTGATGGTTTGATACATTATGCTGACTACAGAACCAGGGAAGTCATTATAAACTTAAGAAATAAAAGATAAACAACTAGGAAGAGAAAATTTTATGCATGCTATAGATCTGGAGTTTTCTTTTCTGTGACCACCAAGCGCTTTAGCAGACATCTGGAGACAAAAGCAAAAACTCTGTCCAAGATTCAAGAGCATTGCTGCTTCAAAGATGCAAAGGTAGCATATATTTCACAGGGCCCCATGGCAAAACTCAGGAAAGAGGAAAGGAAAGACAAAAACTCTAAGATAAGAAAAAAGTGTTAAAAAAACCAAACTAAATGAAATTCCATTCTCCACTAAAAATTAAACAGTAAAATAGTTAAAGAAAAAATTCTCAATTTGAATAAGAGAATTTAAGGCTATTTTTTCCTACATTAAATCGGAATTCAAATTCAGTTTAAGTTCTCTCCTTTGGTTTTAGAAGTATGCTGGTGCAATGGGTGTTGTTCTGTTTGGTCTCTGTTTAGTAGCATTTACTTAAAGTCCTAAATTTTAGAAGCAAGTTTTAAAATAATCGTGGCTGCTACGGTAAATACATCTTAGATGCAACAAAGCATGCCTTCCACCAGAAAGGACACTTGCTGTATGCTCTTATCAAAACTATGTTCCTGTGTAAAACCATTGCAGAGGACTATTATTTGAACCCAGAGGTGCAAATAGCCCTATGTCTGGGAAAGCATACATATACAATACTTTTATTATCCATTTTAAAAATAAAAGACTCATTGGACTGACTAAATTAACAAATAAAACATTAAAACTAGAAGGAAAATACACTTTGAGTATTGGAGCAATTAACCCTTGAAACAAATTTAAAGTGTAAAGACTCCTTAGATCACAACAAGAAACCTCTCTGGGATGCAAGACTTAATTGTCACACTAGTTCAGATGGAAAATCCATCTGACCTCCTCCAGCAGTAGTCATGTAGGCCTGTCAGAAAAGTTCCTCAAAATATTATTCCAGTGTTGGCAGTCAGTTGTTTACTGACTTCGGGAAGGATCTGTATGCAGACCATAGTGTTTATGGCCATTGTGACAAAACACTGGTACAGATCATGAGAAATGACCTAGTAGAAACCTAACTTTCTAAGGTCTAAAACACTCACATGACTAATTCAAAAAAACCCCGAAACAATATACCAAATTCCAAAGTAATGGAACTAACTGTGGGTATAGTGAAGAATTAGGCTGCAAGTTCATAATAGAGTCTTATACTTCAAAGCATCTCCTTGAATTCTGAATACATTGGAACTGTTAAAACACACACAGGCAAGGATGTTATTTCCAGAAGAGCATTCTTTAATACAGTATTTTTAAGTTTGATGATTGGGCCACAAAACATCTTGTTTTACATTACCTTGACTGTTTTGTCCATAGAAGCTGAGAGAAGCATGTGACTCTGTTCCCGTACAGGACACCACTGGATTTCATTGACAGGGCCACTGTGTTTAGACATATAAAATATTAAGCTTTTGGGGACTTCAGTTGATTTATATTTGGATCCCAAATACGGCTTAATTAATTCAGAGATCTTTCTCGAAGTCTGCTCTCCCAATACACCCAGTTTAACATCACAATCTGAGCTACCTCTCTGATCAGGTTCCTTTGTTTCAGGCGTACTGGAACTTTCTTGACGCAATCGTTTGGGGATATATGGTCTAATTCCTTTTATGGTAGTAGCACTGTCTTTATGTATCCTCTTCTGGGAAACGCCATTTCCAGAGTTTGCTGAAGAGCTTGAGGTCTGTTCATAGTTTCTGTAAGGCATAGATAATGCAGCATGGCCAGGGTATGCCCTCCTAGAATAAGGAGATGTCAAGTCAGTGTTATTATTCTGTGCATAAAGCTCAGGGGGATCTTCACAAACAGTGCTTGTGCCAGAACTGCCACTGTTCTCCATAGGGTGCATTTCATATGTAGATTTTGTACCCAAACTACCAGGTGCAAAGTGCTGACCACAACTCACAGAAGACCTCTGAGAGCTTATTTGTGTGCCAAAAGCTTGGGGGACTTCAGTCTTCTCAGTTTCTGTCTCAGAGTCTGAATCTTCATAAGCAACCAGTGACGAACTCATTATGGCTACACACAGCAGACTCCAGAGATCTCAGTGCTGCAATCCTCCAAAATTATGATCTAAAATAAAGAATTGATTATTCAGAGCACAATTCATTAAAGAGTCTACAATATGAGTAACTTAGGGATGTAAACATGCCTTTCTTAACAAAAAACATCAAACTTTTATTCCTATTTATCAATGGCATTTATTCCTCTATTAAAACACATCTGTACCTTCAATTACACAACACCATTTGCCTCCAAGCCCTTTGCATACATTTTTAATGCACTGCAGAAGAGTATTTGCATACCATAAAACAATGAAAAAGAGTATGAAAAGGAAAACAATCTTGCAATATAAATAATGCAAATCACTTTACCTTACTTGCAGTATTACTTCTCCTCACACAAAAGTAATTAATTATGTAGTGGTTTGGTAGGTACATTTATAAGAATACAAATACTACAACTATTTTGGAGTCAGTCTGACAATATCTATTTCTTAACAGTACAGAGGACTTGAAAGAAGTGTGTAGGGGTTCAACTGGCAACTAAAAAAGTGAACACATTTTTGACCCATTCAGCAGTTGTCGCAGTATGAGGAAATTTTCCAACCATATCCATTGAGTAAGTTCCACACAGCCTTTAGTTTTACACAACAGACATAACAGAAACTACACTAAATTCACTATTTGCATTTACATACAGAAAAATAAGAGCACAGATGCCTTTACTGTGGAATAAGGTTTTTCAGTGCATCTGTGAGAAAAATCTCATGCTGAGGCTGCATATGTAACATGCTGAATAACTCACCCTCATAATAATCCCACCAGGATTCTTCCAGTAATTTGGATTGAGCATGTGGAATATAGAGTTAACTACATTCAAACAATTGATGTGTCTGCAAAGTAATATTTCAACCTCTGCTGTTTATAGGCAGAAAGTACTGCCGAGATCAATCAAATGGGACATTTTATTTCTGCTTTGTTTCCTTGCCCAGCTGTTAGCACTCATTATGCTGAAGAGATTTAACCCACAACACTTTCAGAGCAGCGACTGAAATTCTTGGTTTATGACAGCAAAGGAACTGCCCTTAAAAGCATCTTGATGAAAAAGAGAGGGATGCATGAAAGTCAGTATCTTTGTAAGCATTTGCAGAATTGATGCCACAAATGTAAGTCCTACAAATTCTCCTGCAGGAGTAGTGCTCTGGAACTTGTAAAGATTATTCATTTAACTTCAGAATTAAACCTATTTGAACTAAAACAACTATGTTTCACTTAACCTACAGAAGTGTTACATGACAGGCTATTATATTCTGTATCCTGTTATGAAATTTCCAAGCACAGATCCAGAGTAGAAGTACACACATTCATCATCACATATCCTTTCCAAGACAGGTGATCAAAACATTTAACTGGAACAAGGTGACCAACATTTTAGCACATAAAAGCAACAAGATCTCCCTCTAGAGGACATTTTGTCCTTATCTGAAGTTTAAGATAGCTATAAGTGTCAGCAAAGAAGAGCAAGGGAAAATTCTTTTTTTAGTAATACAGCTACATTTATTACAATAACATTTCATTTAAACAGTGTCAAGGAAAAAATAAGTAGCATATCAAGTAAACTTAACTAAAAAATCAATTCAAAAACGGTAAATTGAAGGTTTTAGCAGTAAATTGAAACATCAAATAAATAGCAGCTTTGAATAACTGTATTGAGTGGTTACTGTTTATACTGCAGTGCTAAAAACAGGGCCCAGCCAAATGCACCATTTCCAAAGAACAAATACAGTAAGAAGTTGACCTCTGGCTAAAAGTTATAAACTAAGATACACAAGTGGATTGGGTTAGACTTGCAAAGCTACTTTATTTATTTTAACACAAAAAACCTCAAGCTGAGATTCAGAACTAAGTGCACCATAGCAAACACCAGGTTAAAAACATTTCCCATGAGATACTGGAAAGAAACTGTCCCATTACATCTGGCCAGCACAAATCCATCCCACCACACACATCACCCATAGGAGTCAGTACTTTTGTAAAACCAAAGCATTTCTCTCATCTAAAGACTTCCCATCAACATCTGCTTTTAAAGCAACACTACCCAAAGTTTCTTACCTTGTGCTAACTAAAGAAAAACGGGGGGGAGATGGAAATCACAAGGTGCTTGATCAGAAACACTGTAACTAGACTGTGAATTTATTAACGATATACGATTTACAATGTGTTGAGCTAATAATTAGAGAAGTTTATAGAGTTTCAGTTTTAATTTCCACACGGCTGATTTCCCTGAACACATTGAACCAAGGAGCGTTCAGTCTGTCACGCACAACGCCCCACACCCACTGAGCGATCGCGGATGCTGTGACACGGGAGCAGAGGCAGCACCGCAGGTCCCTCCCGCCGGCCCCGGTGCGGTCACACGGGAGGCACCGCCGCCCCCTCGGGGCTGCTCCCTCCCTCCCGATGCCCCACGGCCCCCAGAGGGGAAGAACAAAGTACCGGAGAGGGCCCAGCGGAACCCACAAAGATGATGAGGGGTCTGAAGCGTCTCCCTTATGAGGAGAGACTGCAGGAGATGGGCCTTTTTAGTCTGGAGACTGAGAGGGGATCTCGTTAACGCACATAAATATCTCAAAGGTGGGTTCCAAGAGGATGGTGTCAGGCTCTTTTCAGTGGTGCCCAGAGACAGGGAGAGGAGCAATGGCCATAAAACACAAGAACTTTCATCTCAACACGAGGAAGAACTTCTTTACATTGAGGGTGGCAGAGCACTGGAACAGGCTGCCCGGGGAGGTCGTGGAGTCTCCCTCTCCGGAGACATTCCAAAGCCACTTGGACGCGTTCCTGCGTCACCTGCTCAGGTGACCCTGCCTTGGCGGGGGGGATTGGACTGGATGATCTCCAGAAATCCCTTCCAGCCGTAAGACTCTGTGCTTCCGTGAACCGCACCACCGGCGGCCCCCCACCCCACCCGGTGTCTCCGGAGCAGCCCTGCCCGAGCAGCGTGGTCTGGGCACCGAGGCCGCCTCCTGCGCTTCCGTAGAGTCGTAACCTCTGCACACACGCGCGCGCCCGATCTCCCCGTCCCCGGGCGCCGAGGCCACTCGTGGGGCCGGGAGAGCCGATATGCGGGACAGCTCCATCCCACCGCTCCCAGCTCCCATCCCCGTGGGAACCCTCCCTCCCGCCGCCGCCGGCGGCCACAACTCACCTGAAGGGGCCGCCGTCGCGCAGGCTTTTAAAAGGGCGGCCGGGTGGAAACAAGCGAGCTCCCAACTCAATCAGTTTCCGAGCGCCGATATCCCCCACGCCAGGCCCGCTCGCTGGGAGTGCCGGAGGCGTGAAGCGCGCTCACTGGAGCCGAACAGGAGCCTTCTTCCACCCTGGAAGCGGTCGGGCGAGAAGCTCTTCCTTGGGCTCGGGGCTGGAGGAGACAGAGGGCTGTGAGAGCAATTTGGTTCCGGGCGGGATGTGGTTTCCCAGCCGGGGAGGCGTAGTGTGCCCGTGCCGCGTGGGGTGATGCAATGGTGTAGAGCGAGGAGCGGAGGGTGAGGAGGGACGGGAGGGAATGGGATATGATGGGATGGGGCCGCGGGGATGGACCCTCGCGAGCGGGAGGGGGGCTGGCTGGGCAGTCGTTGCCGCCCCCGTGAGCGGTGCGAGGCGCTGGGCGCGAGAGGTCTCTGCTGGGCACGTTCCCTCCCTCCCTGTGCGAGGCGTGGATGGGCTGGAGGGTTTTTCCTCTACTCCCTGCGGCCTCCGGGGCTACATCGCCAACGCGTCAGGACAAAATGCCCTGGGAAGAAAAGGACAGGGTGAGATGTCCAGGCCGCAGGAAAATGAGTCCCACCGCGAGAAGGGCAGAGCCGGCCCTGGCCGGGCAGGGTGTGGCAGGGAATACTGCAGGGCTCAGGGAACGCTGGCGTGCTGGGTGATTTGGGGCAGACAGCTTCGCTCATAACAGCTGGTGTATAGTAAAGATTCACAGTGGACTTTCTTCAGCTGACAAGGGTTGAGCGGTCCTCTTGTCATCTTGGGGAATCATCTTACACTCTTTCACTATAGTTTCATATTTTCATGGGTGTCTGTCATGACTGGGAAGGTAGGTCTTCTATAAAATGCAGCCTCTGTTGGAGTACTTCTCAAGGTGTGTTTCTGTGTGGATACTATCTACTTTAATTTCACTTTTTTGTTTTATTTGCAGGAGGCAAAACAGTTTCCAGGAATGTAAGTGCTGTTATACTTACTTCCACATTCTTTCATTTGCTTATGAAAGCTTTTTGTGGACTACTGTGTTACTGTTGTCTTTGGAAGTCTTGCTGTACCTTCATAGGATGTTTGTCACGAAAGAGCTCTTCTTAACATAACATGAAACCCTGCTCTTTAATTCTCGGGTCTCTAACTTACCAAATCAGATTGCAAACAGTGAAAATGATTGTAGGTCTGTGATGGTCATTCGGTGGGACAGAGAGCACTTCTCTGATAACTTTGCCAAGGATTATTTTTGAGCTTTGTCTCACAACGGTTTAATGTTCTGAAATGGCCATAGGAGCCGTACCCATTACAGATTACCTGCATTGCACAGGTAGACAAGGCACACAAATCTTGGCTTTCAAGTTCACACCATGAAACTGAGGCTTTTAAGTTCATTTTGGATCCTGGTCCCAAATATCCTAATAGCCCATTCTCAAATTCCCATGTACCATTTTTTTACTCCAGATCTGTTTGCCCATGGTATCTGATGTGTCCAGGACTTTTAGTTTTCATAATATCAATAAGAAAGTGAGGAAAAAATTCCTGATAAAATGCTGGATATCCAAACATTTTTTAAATGATTCACAGTTGCATTTATGAATTTCAAAAGATAAAGACCTGTGATGGGCATTACTGAATTCCTGGCTTGAATAGGGGCAGTACCAAGGTAAATAGAGATAACTTTTATATAGCAGTCAATGTGTTTTGCATTTTATAGTCATAATATCTTCGTATCTTCTTGCAGCAACTAGATTACTTTTGTTACTTTCTGATGAAAATGCATCTTCATTTGAGATTCTTTGCTCATCTTCAATCCATAATGTTCCAAACATTTTAAAGGGTTCTTTCTGGTTAATGCTTTCCAGTATATATACTCAGTCTCAGCTTTTCTGAGTGAAAGCCTTTCATTTCAGCCTTTCTGAGTGAAAGCAATCTATCAGTAGCAATGTCCTTTCAGGGATTAAGTTAAAACACCAAATCACAATCTGTTCTAGGCCAAAGAAAATTCTTTTTTATATATTTTCTATTTTTTTAAAATTTGAAGTAAATAT